GCTGTAAGAGGAAATGCATTTCTGATTTAATTTTTTCCCATCAGTATTTCTGATTTCTTCTTTCCCTCCCCCCCCCATCAGATCCAAGATCTGTAAAGTGGAACTCTTCCACGCATTCCAAAAGCTGGTGACAAGTATTTCACAAGAGGATCTACCAGACACTCTCCGGTAAAGACACTTTCCTTGTATTTAGAAGAATGAATTTAATGAAACTCAAGAATACTGTGATGATACCAGATTCTGCTCATGAATCTCACTTTAGATTAAGCTAATTGTTAGAATTCGATACTTGAAAAATACGGCATGTGCTTGATGGCTAGGAAGACCCTATGGTCTTTTTAATCACCGTCTTGGAGAAGTAGTTACTGCATCTCGTGTTTTACAGACAGACCGAAGAAATTGCAGGTGGTTTGTTTGTTTAGGGTTAAGGTAAGAATCTGGGGCAGCTGATCTCTTCTGAAGGCTTACTACATTTCAAAAGGGTAAACTCTGTTCTTGATCAGTGGAGCCTTGTCCTTCTCTTGCACTAGATCTGGTGTCTGTTGGACACCTCTGTAGCCTCTTCAACTTGCTGTCTCGGCAGAAAACTCTGTGGTTTGGGTTTTTTTCTGAAAAGGTTTTGTCTGAACGTGTCAGTGGACAGCTGGAGAAGAAGGAACGGAGAGAGAGATGAGAGGAGGAAGTAGTATCTTTTCCTTTGAAAATGCGAGCTGTTAGATCAGCTGTCTTCAGCACTGTACGCTTGGTGGTGTTCAAGCCCCCCACCCCAAAATTGTCATGGGGTTATTGATACCTGGTTGGTGTTTAGTAATTCTATCAAATTACCCTTCTTTGTTTCACAAGAAGGAAGAGTTTGAGTAAAAAAAAAATAATTTTTATTTTTAGAAAAGTAGGCTAAAATCTTTTTTCATCTAAGTGTATGATGAAGTAAGAGCTAAGGAGGTAAGGTAACCATCCTTAAGGTAAGAGCCAGAGGAGGGCTACAAAAATGATCCAAGGGCTGGAGCACTTCTCTTATGAGGACAGGCTGAGGGAGTTGGGCTTGCTCAGCCTGGAGAAGAGAAGGCTGCGGGCAGACCTGATTGCAGCCGTTCAGGGCTTAAAGGGGGCCTATAGGAAAGATGGGGAAAATCTTTTTAGTAGGGCCAGCTGTGACAGGACAAGGGGTGAAGGGGTGATGGTTTTAAACTGAAGCAGTGTAGGTTTAGACTGGATATAAGGAATAAATTCTTTCCAGTGAGGGTGGTGAAACCCTGGCAGGGGTTGCCCAGGGAGGTGGTGGAGGCCCCGTCCCTGGGAACATTCCAGGCCAGGTTGGCCGGGGCTGTGAGCAACCTGATGTGGTTAAAGGTGTCCCTGCTCCCTGCAGGGGGGTTGGACTGGATGGGCTCTAGGGGTCCCTTCCAACCCAAAACATTCTATGATTCTATGAAAGCTAAAACAGGTAATAAAACCCTTGCAAAGGAAGTAGGAGGTACATGTGGCTGGAAGCAGGGGAGATAGGCCTTTTCTGCCTTTCACGGTACCAAGACATTAGATAAGATGAGCTTAGCCAAAGTAAGCACACCCTGGATCTTTAATTATTTTGATCTTGCTTACTTCTGAGTTTTGTGAATTAAAGATTGCAGTTAACTTCTGTGTCTGTGGAAGTGTCTCATAACTGCTTTAAAATTCTGATGTCAACGTGAGCCATGCTATTGCTTAAATGGTTTTAACTGATTCTATAAATAGAGATTCACTTTCTCCTTAATTCAGTTTTAAATATAAAATTATTAGCCCCGTATTGGTGGGAGTTTGCCCTCACTTGTTTAGCCATCATAATTTCCTCAGAATAGGGTGTGAGCGGGGGCGTTGTTGGGTGGGTGACTCACTGTGCTGATCATGTGCTGCCTGCATAACGCCACTTCACCTCAGGGCTTTTCTAGACTCCAGCGGCTTTGTAATTTCCTTTGACTTTTTTGTCCTCTACCATTTTTCTGTCTGGGCTTCTCCTGACAGACCAGCTGACTCGCAGATGTGGCATCATTTTTAGGCTGCACACACTGTTTATACAGTAGAGGTGCTAGCTCACCAGTCAGCTTGTCCAATTGCTTTCCTTTTGAAGTCTTTGGTTTTCCTGCTCTTTGCTTAAAAAGCAAAATAAAAAATGTCTTTGTATTGCCGTTTCCTTTTTCTTCCCTTTCCCTTTCTACGCAATATTGTAACATGTTTTCTTCCTTTCCTCCTTGTAGTCTGAGAATTTGAGTGGACTTCCCACACTCTCAAATTGTTTCCTCTAAACTCGGGTGTATTTAGCTGTTACCCAGTTTTGTATTTTCTTCCCATTCCAATGCATCTTGTTCTCTCCTCGCACAAATGGTTGGCTCTAGTGCTATGCTGTCACCCAGTTTCCTTTTCCCACTTTGGCCCTGAGTTCCTACCCTGCCCCTTCTAGTCCGCTTCTTGGTCTCCTGCCTCCCATCCTTTCTGCTCCAGCAAGGGAACCTCATGCTGTAGCCCTTCCAGATCTGCTGAATGGTTTGTCGTGGTAGTTGTAGTGTATGTTAGGACAAAGATCATTCTTTACTTTACCTACTGTTGTCCACTGTCAGACCTAGGATACTGGGATAGTTAAAGCTTTACGTGGAACTAGTATACTGATTCTGATGTTCTTTTGTTTTCATCTTTCCTGTGCCTAAGCTGCTGCTCCTGCTTCTTGTGCCTTCCTTTCATTCTTCACTTCTCTCCAGAAGATCAGTGCAGGCAATGTTAAATGGGAACAGGTAGAGAGCCTGCTGGGGGCGGAACTTTGCTGGCTCTCCTAAAAGGCAAGTTTAGGAATTTGTAGTGGTGTACCTTAGCTAGATGCTAACATTCAGCAGTTGTTTTTTTTTCAGGATTTAGTTTATTTGCTTTCAGCTGAGACTGTGAGGAGGAGGTGGTGTTTGGCCAGCATTAGCTATTTCTTCAGAAAAAATCAGACAGTGCTGAACTGTGCTGTCCCACTTTCTGCCTTTCTGACAATTTCTATCTCTGTCTTCTCTGCCTTACTTAAATTCTCACTCATTTGTCTAGCTAGACTATCTAAAATGTTGCTTGTTTCTTTATTACCTCTTGCCTCCACCTGACATAGTTCTCTTCTATTGACTCCTCCTTGCATGTTGTTTCGTGTTAATGTTTTGAAATTACATCTATCTTTCTTTTTTTCGTGTTTTCCATGCTCACTATCAAAGGAATGATGACACGCCGTTGGGCAGCGTTATGCCATAGCCAATCTGAATTGTTAGGTAAAAAACTCTGCAGTGTTGTTGTTGTTCGCAGATCACTTGGTGGTAATATGGCAAAGGACATTTTTTGCATTGTTGTTTTCTTTTCCCTGCTGGTAGAAAAAAACGTGTCTTGTTCATCACCCGAGGACATGGAAGCCGCCTTTTGTCATAGCGGCATCCACCATACAGTCACCTGGCATTGCTGTTTGTGCAAGGTGCAGCTGGCTGTGCAACCCTTTGTCTGAATCTAAGGGAGACTTTGTAACACAAACCCTTCCTGAGTTTCTTGCTGGGCTTGTTAAAAGGATGACTGATCCTCCCTTCTCTTAAATTTAGTCAGGAGTTGTCACAACTAAGATTGTGCTTTCTTCCTCCTTCCTATTCAGTCTGCAGTATGGACGATTCCAGTTCCAGTGACACCTAGTTGGAGGGGGTGGGCTGTTGGGCAGAGGAGTTCAAGGACTTTCAGATGGCTTTAAGATTCAAGTATCTAGACTAAAGTATAGAACCTTCCCTTGGGCTTCATGTTTAAGGTTTTGGGTTTTTTTCTTCCTTGCCTGGGTTCAGTTGTGAAAAACCACAGGATTCTGCCAGGTGACCACTAAATACTTCCTGCTGGATGAAGGAAGAAGCTTTTAAGCAAGCATCAGCCTAATGAAAGTAACTGTCATGGGAAGGGTGCACTTCGACTGTCACTGCTGTTCTCCAATTAAAAAAACCCAACCACATTTGGAAAGAATTTTGTTGCCATTTTCTAGTCCCTTTTCAATGTTCTTTTTAAAGTCTGTACGTGAAACAATTCTTATGATGGTCCTACAGTAAAGTAAAACATAAAGTAAAGGGAAACATAAAAGGAATGTGGTCAGGCAGACCTGGAGATTGTATGATAGTGCTGGACTTTGCCTGGGGCAGCAAACTAGCGTTCACTTCCACCAAAAAAATGTCACAGGTTCTTCATTACTAATGCTCAGAGCCTTAATGGCCCAACCAAAGCTGAGATACAGTCAGATCATGTGAAGTTTTTAGGCACATGTAATGTGCTTTGAATTTGAAAGCATTTTTCCCATATATATGTTGAAAATTTCTTAGAAGCATAATGTGGAAGTTGAGTATGAATTAAATAAATCGATTTGATTTTGGCAGCTCTTTGAGGAAGCTGTTTAAAATGCAGCTTTCTGTTGCATCTACTGTTAAACCCTGTAGTGATGTTGTCTGCTTGGAGAGTGAGACCCCAAGAGGTGTGGTTGCGTGTGCTTTTGTAGCTGTTACAGTGGGGTGAGAATACTGAGCTGCTGCTTACTGTCTCTCCTGCTTTTGTGCTAGCTGTGTTCTCCCTTACTGTCTACTCTGACAGTGCCCAAACAGAGGTCTGTTGGAATAATCTAGGTTAGAAAAATCCCGCATGTGTTTTAAAGTTAAATTGAATCAGACTAAAGGATATGAGTTGAAGAGCCATTGATTTGCCAGCAGCTTCAGGAAAAAGAGCAACATTTAGCAAGGAAGAAATGAAGAACAGCTAGGCATTGGAGTCTTCCTCTTGGCTTAGTGGCAGGTGGAAACTATCTATCTATATATATAGATCTATATCTATATGTGTGCATCCAAAACAAATGCAAGGAAAACAGCTGTTTCACCTTTAACGAGATTGAGCCACTCCAAAAATCTGTGTCGTAGAATTCTTTATTGATCTCTGACCATCCTAAATGTGACCTCATAAGTACAAGTAGCCATGTTTTGAAGATGTAAACAGCATCTGATATTAGCTGTTCTAAGATAAAGGACAAATGTAACTCATTAGATGCATTTATAGTGAAGAAGGGCAGGGTCAAAGTCTCGAACAACTATGTCAGGCACTTTAAGTGCAAGCAGTATGCTAGCGTAAGAATTCCCAAAGAATGATTTGGTTGTTATCCTTGAGTGTAAACATGCGTATTGCACCCCAGAGAATGGTTTTGAGGTGGAGGAGGAGGTGTAGGTGGTTTGTGCTGTGTCTGAGGTACATGTTGGAGTACTTGGGAGAGGAACAGGCTTGTCTATGCTAGGGATTTGGAGCTGGTTGTGGTGGGTTGACCTTGGACCTATGTTGTTTCCTGAATGCTGCTTATGCAGATTGTTGCTGCTCTTTTGCCTGTTCAGTGATGCTCCTAAACCATGATGCACCATTGATAATGGGGTTCTGTGACTTCCACTGGGCAGGTGGAGGAGAATTGCAGTGGGCCCTTCCATGGAACTTCCCAGAGCAGCTCAGGGGTTAGTTTCACAGAGTTTCATTAATGTGAAAGAGGTAAAGAAAGCAAAATGGATTAGCTGTGACAAGAGTGCAGGCAGGTTTGTAAGAGAGTATACATCTCTCATGTTCAGCAATGGCATAGACAGGTTCTCCACTCTTGCACTTTCTGAACCTAAGCTCTTCAGGAGAGATAATATCTCATGGCTTGCTATGCACGTCACAGTGTTCTAGAAATACATTTATAGCAGAACACTGAATGAATGCCTAAAATACAGCTCCTGATGGTCTGCTGTTACCTTTTTGGGGGGTTGTTGGGGTTTTTTGGGAGGGGGATGTGGTGGTGGTCATCAATATTGCCTTTGAGCGTGAAAGCCTGCTCTGGAAGTTGGTGCGGTGGTTCTCAGACTTTTTAGATTAGGGTTGCTGTAGTAGTGTGGCTCTTCTTTCTTGATGAAGATCATGTTGTCTGTGATCTTCCTTTCGTACTGGATCGAATGTATAAACATCATATGCCACATGTGGCTGACAGACCGTTTGGCAAAGGGAGACAAAAGAAACTGGGAAAGGAACCCAAGGAAAGGAAAAAAGTTTTGATTAAATTGTCTTAGAGGCACTTGTGTTCAGATACTCTTGACCTGAATTGCCCTATTTTGAAAATTAATGGTGTAATGCACTCAGGAGAGTGACCAGTGGTTCTGCTGAGATTGTAGGGAGCAGGAGCTACACAAGGAAGGGGAACAGAGCACCAAAACTGCTGAGTCTCTTTTGCTGTAGGAAGATTAAAAAAAAAATTGTTCTCCTCTGTCTCACTCTTCCCCATTACTTTGTGTTGGAAAAGAACAACTGTCCTGTTTGTCCTTGTCTCCTTCCCTTCCAGCCAGTAATCATATCCATTATTCTAGCTAAACTAGGCTACTTCCCCCAATTCAAAGCATCTACCTATAGCCACCTTTTCTGCTTTGCTTCAACATTTTTTTCTGTTGTGGAAGTTTTCTGCAACCTATCATCACACAGTCAAATGCTGACACTTCTATTGCTGGAGAGTGTGTATGAAGCATGGTAGAGGAGTTGTTTTGGTTCCTCTTGTAAGACTGCTGACAGTGTCTAGATACACTAGCTTCAGGGCCTGGGCCCCTCCAAGTCTGCCTAGAAACACAAGAGAATTTCACTTAGCATGAAAGACCTCATAGGGCATCGTCATGTTCTTAGGTGTTTGATTGCTTTTTTCGTTTTGTAATGTTACATCCAGTACAATAATAGAAATGTTTTCGTCGTTGTGTATTTTCTGTCAGGATGAAGACTCTAGAAACCTACCAGGACTACAAGGAAGCTGCATTAAATTACCAAGAAGCCTGGAAAGTGCTGCGTAGCCAAGCCCTGCTGGGTTGGGTCAAGAATGACAAGGAATACCTGCACTTCACATGAGAATACACATGGCTGCGTAAATCCAGCAATAAGCCCTGGTGCACAGCAGATACCTCTGCGGTTCAAGGGCCAGGAAAAGATGTCCTCTAGTTCCTGTGCTAATAAGGAGGGAGGGGTGAAAAGGAAAGCAATCTAGAGAAGTCTCTTTTGGTTGAGTTGAAGCCCCCTTTTTATTGTAATATAGAAAAGGATAATTGCAGACCTCAAGTTCTGGGCTGCATGAAACAATATGCCTCCAAAAGAAAGGAAGCAGTGATGTGCCATCCTCTGTTACCTGAGGATGTGATCTGTCAGCCTTAGTCCATTGCAGGGGAAGTAATGTCAACTGAAATTGAAGCAGTGCTATGGAAGAAAGGGTGTCATTGTAAAATTTTAGTGCTGCTTTTTTCTTCTACTCTTCATAATGTTATGGTTGGTTTTGTGTTGCTGGGACAACCCTAATGTATAGTAAGTAACATTTTTATAACTCTTGGCTCTCCTTGTCTGGTGCCTGGAACAATTTTCTGTATCCCCAAGCCCCATTGCTTCTAACTGGAAGTACTAGTTCTGCTAAAGAGCCTTTTTTTTCTGGGAATCCTTCATATAAGCTTCTATTTACCAAATATAGCCAAAGCAGAAGCAAAAGAGTGCTGGGGAGAAGCCTGTGTCACATAATACCACTTAATGATATCCTGTGCATCTCTCTTCATTTCAGGACTTGGCCAGATACCCCTTCAACTGCTTTGCTTATGTGGGCAGGGAAGACATCTCCTGAATGACCTGGTTCAAACCTGTCAATCCTGTGTAATTCCAGGCAAACATTTACCTACTTTTCAGTGTTTCAAGCCCTGTCCCCCCACCCCCACCCCGTGATACATGGTTAAGTAAAAGAAGGGATGCCTTAGCCATTTATGTCATTGTTTCCTGGCAAGTATTCATTACTAACCTGGCAAAGGGGGAGATGCCTGGAGTGGGGGGGGCAGGACTGGGAGTAGTCTCTGGCAGTCTTTGCCTTTGCTTTATTACCAAATAACATCTGCATGGCAAAGCAGTCAACATTGTAAGCTGAGGGGAAGCAGGGGTAATCCTCCTTAAACTTTCTGTCCCAATTATTGCCTTCTGTGAGCAAGGTCAGGACTGGGTAACTTACTGAGCGAACTCCTCTTTTTTACTTTTTCTCTTGTAAACTACAGTTCGTAAAATTCAATCCAAAAATATTGGGACAACGCAATGGCAGGATGAAAGAAGTGGATAATTTAGAACTTAAGAATTTGTTAGTGATTTGAGTTTTCTGTTCTTTGATATCTTACTATAGTTTTGGATTTGAAAAATTGGCACAGCGGTTCTCCAAGCAGTGTTTACAGTCAACCTACAGAGCTACACATGGGACTGAACAGTACCTATCACATTGCAGTCTGAGAATTGATTACAGCAAATCCTTTTACTTCACACATGGGTTACTTGTCAAATAAGAATAGTTCTGTCTTACAACAAGTAATAACAAAGAAATAATGAAGAAATAACAAAGAACTTGAGTTCTGTGTGTATAAGCCTGTCCTCTCAAATCCAGCGCTAACGTGCAGAAAGACCAGTTGTATTGGTGAGGGGGAAGTTACTGCATGTGTTTGTAGGGGGCGGGAGATTATGGAGAAGGGTGACTTGCATTAGTCATCGGAGGATGAAAAATGGCCAGGTGCCATTGCGGATGGGCTACAGGGTGAACTGCTGAAGAGAAATGGTAGCAGTTCTTGTAACTGAGTAAATAGCATTCCAAGGGTGGAGTCCTGTAGTGCACCTAAAGAGAGAACCAGTAAATTTCCAGGCTCCTGAAATTTACCTTTGTCCTTCCCTGAAATCTTGCAGAAACTATACCTTGGTGTATCTAGTTTCCCTTTGTTAATCAACAAGGTCTGTAGCGAACCTGCTGACCAGACTGGAATGTTCCCATTTCCGATCCAGCTGCAATACTAAAATGAGTTACATAAGGCTAGTTGTTCTGCAGTCTTTGCATCAGACTAGTTCTCAGATGAGCAGTCACATGATGTAAATTCTTTTAACTCTTTCCTGAAATTTGAGCCTGGCTGTTAGGAGAGAGAGTTCCTGGTACAATTTTCCTGTGCATTTGTAAAATACTTGTGAACTGTAGACTGCTGCTTTCTGCTACTTGTCAGGTCTAAAAGTAGTTTTGGAGGTGCTGAACACTGATACTAACCTCACTTTTTGGATGGAGTTGAGGACATATTTAAACCTAGAGTGAGTCAATTAATGTGTGAAGAGAGGGAAGGGGCTAAAACAAAGCAGCATTTGAAAGGCTGAGAGCAGCCTGCAGAATTTTATACTCCACTGGATTGAAAATAAGTATTTAAATGCTGCATCTGTTTAATTCCAAAATGTTAGGAAATGCTGTAGGCACTACCAAGAAACCAATCTAAAAATCAGAAGGGAAAAACGCAGAGAGAAGAGATAACACAGTCTTTGCTTTTGGAAGAGGTAGCAAACTAAACTTTCGTCATTGTCAGCAGACCTTTGGAAGAATTGCTCCTGGAAGGTAGCAGTTGACACGTTGCAAGCTTGTATCACTCCTTTCCACTGGAATTGCTGACACACTGAAAAAAGAGGTAGGCAAGGTGTAGGGGGGATGGTGGAATGCAGAGACTGTCACAGGGGAGCAGGGGGTGGGGGTGAAGTAGGGGGAATGAAGTGCCCACAGCTGATGGTTAATGAGGATGACCAATCGATTAGTAATGGGAGCAGCAGAGCATAAGAGGGCACCAAGATTCCCAAGGCGTGTGTACAGTACTCTACAGAGCATATTTGTACTACCCAGATAGGTCCTTGACTTTCCCAAACTAGTATGGGAACCAATGGTCCCTATTTGCCAGAACAAAGAAACTGTAATCCTTATTTTGAGTGGGATGTCTTTAACAGCTTCACTGCTGCAGAAATTCTGGTTTCAATCACAGTAATAAGAAGGCAGGGCAGACCTGCTTATCTTTAAGGAAGTCAAAACCAGAGCATAGAAACAAGGGGTTTTTTTTGTCCAAGTGCAGAAGCAAACAGTCTGAGCTGGAGGCTGCAGTTCCATGGGACAACACGCTAGCATCCCATTCCCTTTGAAAAAGCAAAGTTTTGAGCTTCACACTGTTCTTCCGCTGCTCACCTTGCACAGGCTAGAGCGCTTACTGATCTTGGTACGTTCAGAGTAAACTGAAAACTATCAAATTACTGTCTTTGTAGAAATACAACCCATGAGCCCAAAACAAGGTGTAGCTTTTCACTAGGAGTTAAATCAGCTTTGCAGTAAGCCCAGTAAGCACTAGAAGAAAGGAAGAGCTAGGGCTTCACTGCTGAGGGCAGAGGCGGTGGAGCCAGGCTTCCTTTTGCTTGTTATGAACTAGGAGCTGGTTGTGAAACCAGACCTGGAGAAAATGCTTGAGGCATGAGTATGGAAATGAAGTGTGAATTACTTCTGGGGAGCTACTGTTGGTAAGGAGGAAAGAAAGGTGTTGGTGTAGAATTGGGAGCCAAATGTAGTTCAGTATCCCTGCTCCTGCAGGGGGTTGGACTGGATGGGCTCTAGGGGGCCCTTCCAACCCAAAACATTCTATGGTAAGAGGGTTGCAGCAGTAGTTTATAGGTGAAAGCAAAATAATTTTTGAGGAAAGACCATCTAAATTCATCTAGTACTGGTTTAGTTATATGAGAGATGACACTTCAAGTTAGCTTAAAGATAGGTGATGTAGAAGTGTGGCTGTCGGAATAGTGAGGTATTTCATTTTCTGTTCAGCGTCTAAACTGAAATGCCTTCCCAGTCTTGAAGGGTTAATAGAAAGTGAAGATCATATGGAACCCAAAGGCTTTTAATCATTTTAAGAGTGACTGTACTGTCTAAAGGGATGTATTTCATCTGTGCATTGCAGAAGGAAGTTTCTTGATGTTTTATTGCCATTTTAAGTGCATCTGCAGATGAAAAGTAAAGTCACTGCTGTAGAACATTCATCCTTGCGTTCTCTGGAATTTCTTGTGTACCTGGGCTCCTAAATCAAAGCTAATAATTACAGAGAGTAGTTAGGTGGCTTTTTTTTTTTTTGAGAGGCTTATAAAGGGTATTCCAAAAGTCACCTCGATTGTAACAGTAGGAATAAAACTTCATCCCCTTGTTTTGTTTAGATATACTATGTGCTAGCACGTAATTAGCTTTATCTAGCAGTTGTAAGTTACATTTCTTACTCTCTTGTTAACAGCTAGCAAAAAATAGGACATGATGACCATAGACAAACCGTGAAGTTTCAGCTTAAAGGGAACAGAACGTTTTCCAGTAATAAAAAAACCACAGATGAAACCACTTTTCTTTATTCTCAATCAAAAAAAACCATTAAGAGCAAACATCAGTACTAAATGTGTGGAAAGGCAGGGGTGGAAAGAATTCCCGATGGAAGCAGCAACAGAATGTTTACTAGAGCAGTGCTATACATTGCAGTGCTATTCTGAATAACGGAAGGTTTGCTGAAATCAACGGCACATTTTCAGCGCTGTTACTGTGACAAGCCTCAATAATAGTGTCAACATTTCACAGGCTCCTGCCTTCTCATTCTGAAGCCCTGCCAGTACCTGTGAGTAACTGCGAGCCAAACATAATTCTAGGCATAAGGTGACGTCATGCGAGTTTGAGTTAGTATGAATTTGATTTAAGCTTGGAAAGTGATAAATTTCCACTGTCACTGGAAACATTTTAAAAACTAAACTCCTCAACACCATGTAGCATGAAAATGAAGTAAAACTTTTATTAGGAGTCTAAATTGTAATTAGTGTTTCCTTGCTGGCTTACAAAGTTCAGAGCAATGCTACTTTTCCAACCCAGTGTTATCCTTTAATATCAAAGTGTGAACTCCAGTACTGTGCAATTCTGTCAGGTGGCTTTTCCAACATCCCCCCGCTCCTCATTCAGAGGCGTAAGTTTGCCTCTTTGCCTGTAAGTAGAGGTAGCTGTGTAGCTATGGTATTTGGAGAGAAGTTGAGAGCCTCATGAACAACCGTTTTTTTTTGGTTTTGTGGCAAAGCCTCTTTACTTTTACTGTGCTGCATGCATGCTTTGGCAATAGTGCTTATAAACTGCAGGAACTGATCTTGAATTGTCTCCCATGCAGCATTTCTGTTCTAGTTGCCTGCCTCAACTAAGTAGAATCATAGAATGCTTTGGGTTGGAAGGGACCTTTAAAGGTCACCTAGTCCAACCCCCCTGCCATGAGCGGGGACGTATTCCACTACATCAGGCTGTTTGAGCCCCATCCAACCTGACCTTCAATGTTTCCAGGGATGGGGCATCTACCACCTCCCTGGGCAACCTGTGCCAGTGTTTCACCACCCTCAACATAAAAAAAATAATTAAATTCTTCCATATATCTAGTCTGAATCTACCCTCTTTTAGTTTAAAACCATTAAAAGGCCTGTCCCCATTTTCTTGCAAGCCCCCTTTTAGCACTGGAAGGCCACAATAAGGTCTCCCCAGAGCCTTCTCTTCTCCAGGCTGAACCACCTCAACTCTCTCTGCCTGTTCTCATAGCAGAGGTGCTCCGGCTCTCTGATCATTTTTGTGGCCTCCTCTGGACCTGCTCCAACAGGTCTGTGTCTTTCCTGGGCTGAGGACCCCAGAGCTGGACACAGTATTGCAGAGGGGTCTCACCAGAGCAGAGGAGAGGAATCCCCTCCCTCCGCCTGCTGGCCATGCTGCTGGGCATGCAGCCCAGGATACGGCTTTTCATCCCCCAGTGCCTGCCAAGTCCTTCTCTGCAGGACTGCTCTCAAGCCCTTCATCCCTCAGCCTGCACTGATTCTGGGGGTTGCCCTGACCCAGGTGCAGGACCTTGCACTTGGCCTTGTTGAACCCCACGAGGTTCCCATCTGCCCACTTCCTGAGCTTATCCAGGTCCCTCTGGATGGCACCCAGTCCCTCAGGCATGTCAACTGCATCACTCAGCTGTATAGTAAAGCTGCTCTTTCACATACTTGGTTCTGTAACATCCTTACAATACCTACAGAATTTTTACTTGGAAAGGATGTGTATTTATATAACTACCTGTAACACAACTACTGCTTGCTGCTTTTTTTTTTTTTGAGCTGCTCATGCAGCTGTTGTAATCTGAACTCCTTACCAGTTACTTTTCTCTCTGCAGTAACTCATACAAATTACACCTTCCACTTCTCCAGCTCTCTTGTCTCCTATCTGTATCATTCCTTCTCCTAGGTGCCCTTTCTTTACATGCTATGCTTTTGTCACCTAGATGCTGCTTTCCAAAGCCAATGGTATTTACTCCTCCATTGATAGCCTGTGGGCAGGCATAGCTCTTTTTTTTGGTTGCTCTGAAGCTATTTGTTTTGGAACCTACAGATAGCTCTTTGTTTCTTCTGTGTGTCATCATCCCCCTACTAAAGGCTGAGGAGCTGTACAGGGTCTAGTAAATATAAGCAGCTGTATGGTGTCTAGTAAATGTGATGTATAACTTTCTGGCCAAAATTAAGGTAAAGAAATGACAGCACTGCCTGTTTGTGACAGGAATTTTTATTGTACTTGTTTGTTAATTGAGAAAGAGGAACATATTAGCTCAATTCAACATGATCAGAATCTTGCTCCTCCTTAAGATAAGCTAGCAAATCCAGCGTTCCCAATACTAATGTCATGTTTTTATTTTTCTTAAACTAACACCTCAAAACAGAATAAATGCATATTCTTCTTTTCATGTTTTAGTAGCCCAACTACTTTGCTTTATTATTTAATCAGTATTGTCAAGTGTATTCCCCAAAGGAGTGAGGCTCTGGGAATTCATAGCCATGAGGGAAAAAAAAAAAAAAGCATAAAACCAACAAAACTTGTGATAATTTAACAGTCTAATAAAACAAGACCTATCAATATATTAAGAAATAAATCCAGTTGCAAATGCTCATATGTAGAAGGAACTTCTGTGGATGTCGGAACAGAAAACGATCAGCTATTTACAAGATACACAGCAGGATGGTGTAGCAGCCAAGATCCACCATTCAGAAACCAAATGTGTTTTCTCCACTGTAGGCAACATACAAGAATCCATCCTCATCCTTTTCCTTCTCATAAAGTTGTCCCATAGTTAAGCTTGCAGGGGGGGGAAAAAAAAAGACAGTTTGCTTGGATCATGGCAGTTGCAAATGGTAAGTTAGAACCTCACATAAACAAGGATTAACAAAAGCTAAAACTTGTAAGTCTGTGTGTAAATTAAAATATGAAAATGAGGATACATGAAAAACAGTTGACTCCTGAGTTAGCAAAATGAGCCTGGTCTTTCTGCAGTGTCTAGGGTTTTGTTACTTCATCACATGCGCATTTGTCAGAATGCTTCCTTACTTTATTGGAAATCGGTCACCGAATATATTTCAGGTTCTGAATCATCCCTTATTGATGCCGTGACTAGTACCAAGATGAATAGCCTGATAGCACCTTCCTTGAATGCAGCTGCATTAACCTATCGCTTCTTGTGTGGGCAACCTCATTTCTCCCTCCACCTGGTGTAGTCATGAATGTTTAGCCAGTCTCAAGTCTATCAAACTTGTGGTCTTTGGACTGTTTCTTTGAGGTCCAGGATGTTTTGGGTAGTAAAAGCTTTGTTTTCTACGTTGTTAAAAAGTGGTGACTTAAAATAGTGCTACTACCAAAATGCATAGGCAGTAAATTACACGTTAGCCAGAAACAAGTGCTTTTCCAGTGGATAAGGTTTTGATTGTTTGATCAAATGAGTATTTCCTTAAACTGAGTAGGCATGTGGTCCTTCATAGCCTAAGCGGCTGTGGTCCTTAGGGCAATGTCTGTATTTTGAAAACAAAAGAAACCCAAGCAATTATTTGGCCAGTACAACTGCTCGAACCATGTAGCTGCAGATGAAACAGGCAGTTGACATCAGCCAGTTGCACAAATGACGCCTCCTCAGCTCACCTTTGTCTGACTTCCCAAGACTGAGAAAAGGCTAGTGAACTGAAAGACACAGACTGAATGTGAGTAATAGGGAAAGCGATTGTGGCTTTTTACCCAAGAGAGGAGCTGGGAAAAGCTGCAGGCAGTACTTGAAATGGAAGGGGATTGCTGTGTTGTAGATAAACCTCTGGATGAGGAGAGAAGGATGTCAAGAGTTAGTGACCTATGTAATAAACTCAGCCTACAAGAGGAGCGGAGCCGTTAACAGATCAGATTTTTGTTTATCTGTTAACAAGTTATCATCTTTGCATCAACATTGAAGGTTCAAGGCCCTATTTCTCCAGCAGAGGTGTGACATCTCATCACAAGCATGTGAGATGAGACAATGTGCCCTTTGTTATTCTTTCCTGTTCCTAGCAGTTCTACAGTGCTGTTAAGAAGATGACATATAGGCATTCCTAACACTCCTAGAAAAAAGCAAGCAGAAAAAGATGGTTTTCACAGGTCCCTATTGTGTATCGCAAAGTAAATAAAAATATTCCCAGCCGAGTCTGGGCAGGAAGGACTGTTACAGTGACACAGGTAAGGATTAATAAGAATAATATTGTATCTAAGCCGTGTAAAATCATGACGTACTAGTTCCTCAAATACTATTAAAGTATCTTGTATAGAAAGCAGTTGTAGTAGCTGCTTCTGCTCTACATTATTCTGTATGTAGCAGACAACGATGAAACTTACTCCAATATAAAAGCAATGTGAAAAACCTTTCTAAAGTAATGTTGTATTTTGTGTTTATAGAAGAAGTAATTTTTAAAACAAGCAATAGCAACTAGTCTGTAACATAATTTCTTTGTGAGCTGACAGGTTGTTTTTTCAGAATACTTACGGTGTTTGCTTTTGAGTATATAACATGCAACACTTTTGTTACATTGAGACTGATTATTTTTTTGGCATCAATGATATAAATGTTCTCGCACTCAACCAAAGATATCATAATAACGCCAGAGATCACCCTCTTGCCATGGAAGTAAATCATAATGTATTTTTCAGTCACCTTTTCTTTCAGCTTAGCTCAAGAAATGTTTATCAAAGTCACAAGAAAAAAACTTACCACAGTGAGATTAAGATGTAACCACGCACCTCCTAAAATCGCCAAATAAGCCTCAAAGAGGGGAGTTACTGTCCCTCTGATATGCACAGGCTTGCTGAAATAGTTCTGAATACCAAGTGAATAGCCGCTCACCTGGACTGTGGGACAGTCTTGTCTACAAAGAGGAATATTGCTTTCTCAGATGGCAGTTGAATCCTCTTCCTGATGATCCACATGAACTGGGCCACGGTGATGTCAGATGGAACTAAGTACTTCCTCTTGTCAATATCAACAATCTGAGATCCTGAGACCTTCTCCACTATGACCTGTAAAGTGCAAGTACGAAGGTCAGGCTTTTCAGGATTGGTATGGACAGCTTCTGTAAATCGCTTGCTGGTAGAGGCTTACAACAGTGAGCAGAGGGGAGGAACAAAAAGGTTTGACTGCAGCCAAATAAGAGGTGGGACTGGCTCAGCACTGTAAAACCTGATTTTACAACTGCACTGAAATCTACATTCATATACACAATGGTGCTAAACTTCTTATGCCCACAGTTGACAATCATGGGGTAAAAAGATGCAATATGCCTAAAAGAAAGCTGTGACAGGAAAGTATACACCTTTTAACTTTGTACATTGATGATACGAAATTACAACAATGCAGACCCCAGGTTCAGCACAAGTCAGTGGGGTGCCCTGGCCGCACCTGGAGTGCTGTGTCCAGTTCTGCGCTCCTCGGTACAAGAGAGAGACGTGGATATACTGGAGAGAGCCCAACAAAGGGCCTCAAAGATGTTTAAGGGATTGGAGCATCTCTCACATGAGAAAAGGCTGGGAGAACTGGGACTGTTCAGCCTGGAGAAGAGGCGGCGTGAGTGGGGGAGAGGGGGATCTTATCAATGTGTATAAATACCTGAAGGGAGGGTGCAAAGAAAATGGAGCCAGGCTGTTTTCAGCGGTGCCCAGCGACAGGACAAGAGGCAGTGGGCACAAATGGAAAGGCAGGGGGTTCCCTCTGAACATCAGGAAACACTTTTTTGCCGTGAGGGTGACTGAGCACTGGCAGAGGTTGCCCAGGGAGACTGGGGAGTCTCCCAGCTTGGAGATACTCAAAATGCCACCTGGACACGGTCCTGGGCAGCTGGCTGTAGGTGGCCCTGCTTGAGCAGGGGGCTTGGACCACATGACCTCCAGAGGTCCCTTCCCACCTCAACTCTTCTGAGATTCTGAGACTTATTCATACCAGGACAGTAATGACCTATTGTGTTTAAATATGGCTAATTTTCAAAATGTTCTGAAGTTCCCCGTGTGTGCTGCATGTTGGAAATGGTCATGCTAAGCAGAGGCACATGCATAATTCAGGTAACTCAGTGAAGAGTTAAAGAAGCCATGTTAATTCTGAACACAGTCAAAACTCTAATAGAATTGCAGTGTGAACTGTGGTATAATGCAAGGTTCTAGTTGGCTATAGACCACATTCATTTTTTTACAGTGCTTTGCAGTACTGCTTTTGATTTGACAGTCTGCATTCCTATAATTAATCTGGTGATGATTATTGACTTCCCACAACTAGCCACCAAGCATTTCATCCAGGCTCAACAGTGCCTCAAGGAAAAGAAATGAAGCATGGCTGCAGCATGCTCTGGAATACCAGCTGGCCTCCCAAGGATGCCAGTTGAGCACTCCATCAAATCACCAGAAAGGTGCTGCAATATGATCTTGTCTGTGTGCCTCTGCTATACCAGACTTATACTGCCAGATAATCCAGCAATGTAAGTATGCACCTGATGTTAAAAACTGTAAGATTACAGCTTTAGTTAATTGGATGAAGTTACAGGATGACAGTGAAGCCATATAATAAAGTGTAGGTTTTAGCTATATATGAATGAGAGCCAGATGGGATAAACAGGCTGCAAGGAAAAAATAAAATATATAAATAAATAAAGAATCACAACCCATGCTTATGCTGCTAGGCCACCATAGGAATGTGGCTATTCTCTGCCTGCACTGGGAGTCTTTGGTAACAGAAAGCAGGTAGGAACCCAAGCAGACATGCCTAGGTTTGCAGCATCAACAGACTTTTGTTTGCAACTTCAAAAAAAGACTGCCTATGTTAATCACTATTTTACAATGTCTGTAGACTCAGGTCTGCAATAACATACCGATTTTTATCACTGGAAACCAGATTTTTTTTTAGGCGTGTTATTTTGAATATAACTGCACTCTCAGACACATTGTTTGTTCCACCATGTTATTGTTGTCAAGGTACGAGACTCTGATGCTATTTTGTGCTTTGTATTATGCTGAACTGATATTAGAATATCTTACTTCATATGTTAAGGAATTAGAAATTGACTACAGGAAGGAAAGATGGCAAGATGGCCACAAACAAAACAAACAAAAAGCAACAGGTACAGGAAGAAGAAGAATTAAGTATTACTTGTGGAAAGGACCTGGCGCTTACTGCCCCCCACAAGCTAGTTCTTGAAGGAAAAATTGCAGCACGTGGGGAAATAAGGCTTACAAGAGGTTCCAGTGTCTCCATTCCTTAGCTCTGCATTCCCCATTGCTACAGCATACAGGTAATTTACAAAGCTCAAATAAATTTACAAAATATGCTATATTATGATCTGAAAAGGGTTCTCCTTAGAGTTTCTTCAGCTCTGCCTGCAGAAACAGGAGGAGGGCATAGTAGCTGCCCTTGCAATTTAGTATGAGGGAACTGTAAGGAAGACCAAGAACAACCTGAAAGGAATATTGAAGCTTTCACAACTGATACTTTTTTTTTTTAAGACTATAGTAACACACAATTTTAGCTCCATAATGCAGAAACTTTCATAACTGGAAGTCAAGGCTGTTGGTAAATGGCTTCTAATAAAACTTACAGATTCCTTTAACCTTTAGACCACTTGATTCCCCAGGCAAATTTAAAATTGCAGTGCTTAGCAAGCATGAATTTCTTTCACCTCCCATTTTATTCCTAAAAGGTCTAGCCTAGGACACAGGCAGGCTGTTCATATATTATATTAATAGGTTTGAAACACTGAAACATCTCTAAATGCAGGTAGATAGATAAAACAGCTGAAAATTGAAGTCACTTTGACCTGTCATTCTGGATGCAGGCTATAATCTGGAAAGCAGGAAACATACATTAAGTCTGAAAAACACTTTTGACTATTAAATGCCAAAAATACATTTGATACCAACTGTTTTGTGAAACGTACATGGCTCAATCTGAATCATCAGGCAGAAAACATGTATTGGCCCAGACAAAACATCACACTGCAATTTGAGATTTAATTCCTGTATCCATCCACACCTTGCTGTCCATTCCTGATACAGCATCATGTAATTCTGACTCACACTATGCATTTCAATGTCTCTTTTTCCCCTAGGGTTATGAAAGATATTCTTGAAGTGGACAAATGGATATCTGTGGAGATGTATGGTCATTAGCACACTACAGTCTATATATGAGGGGGTAGTTAGCCAAGCAGAGAACGGCAAGGATCGGATCAGCTTGCCAGACTGCAGCTGGAGAAGATGCTGTGACTAGGTGCAACTCATCAGCAGAGAAAGTCAATGGGATTAGAGGTTCTACTCTGGGCTGTGCTGTTGGATGGATAAGTTATTTACCAAGAGGTCAGACAGGAGTGGCACTATCTGGCATGTGGTCAGATGGGATGTGGGAAATTTTACTCACAAGATAAGTTGAGAATGTGGACATGTTGCTAACTGTTACATAAGGATGTGAAGTGTGGTTATTTCACTGACTGAAACATGATAAAGGGGATTGCTGAGTGAAGAAGAGGGATCATTCACTATTTAGCAGGTAGGTAGGTATTAATGCAGAAAGGAAGGGTCACCATTTGCACTGGCTCTTCAAGAAACAGCATTTGCATGGGAATATTCACCACAATCAGACTCAGTACAGGCATGGAATACGAGGGAAAATCATCCTCCTCATGTAACCAGGATGGAAGATTGTCAAGGTTTAAAGAATTTATGATCTTTCTTGGCATCAGGCGCAGAATGAATCCTCAAGGCACTGAAGGGATTTCTTCGGACATAATTGCTATTAGAAGAAAACAGGACACTCATAAACATTCCTGGAAAGTGTTTAAAAAGTCAGGCACTCTTGTTTACTTGTCAATATGCACTGGGGCAGAGAAGGGAATGTTGGATTAGTTAGACGTGTTTGGGGCCTCTTTAAAACATCTAAGGACACAAAAAGGAAGATGAATTTACTTAGGAAGATCTGATCAAAGAGGGCAGGATGGAAACAGCTTATCCACCTTTGCCTCCAAGTACTCAGATGAAGCTGGCTCAGTTACTCACCGGGACGCGGTCAGGGTATTTGGCTCGGATTTTTGCCGACTCGACACATCTGTGCTCTGTGAACAAAACTCGTAATTAGTCATTGCATAGCAACAGTATCGCCGGTGTCCCGGGGAAGATCTGATCAAAGAGGGCAGGATGGAAACAGCTTATCCACCTTTGCCTCCAAGTACTCAGATGAAGCTGGCTCAGTTACTCACCGGGACGCGGTCAGGGTATTTGGCTCGGATTTTTGCCGACTCGACACATCTGTGCTCTGTGAACAAAACTCGTAATTAGTCATTGCATAGCAACAGTATCGCCGGTGTCCCGGGCAGAGAGGGCAGCGCCTGCAGGGGCGGGAACCTGCAGGGGTCGCGACCGTCCCGCCCTCCCCCCCCCCCGGGGGGGACCCCAGCTGCTCGGGGGGG